GTTTCGCATTGCGTCAGTTTCCGCAGTTGCATACTTGTGTTCCAAGTTGTGCGTTTATTTGAGGAACTCTTTGTCTATGTGTTCAGATGGTTCTGTCTCATGCAGATGGTGGCTGTCCTTGGGCAAGTCATGGCAAGTCTAAGGTTGTTTTACGCAGTGGCTAAGGGGCGCGTAGAGACTGCAGAGGCCCTTGTGAAGGGCGGTGCGGGCCTGGACGCACCTCGGCAGTGGCCAAGGAGTTTGAGTTTTTTGTGTTTTTTGCCACAGGACAAACATGTGCGACGGGCCCCATAGATGTCGTTCACCCATTGCCTGTTTGCAACATACAAAGGCGCCATTAGTTGATCAAGCAACATGAAGCAATTGCAGAAAGGCAGCTCATGGCGGGCGGTATGCCCAGCGACTATTTGGTTTTGCCATTCAAAAAGGGAAATTGATAGGCGGTGTTGCAGCGCCACAAATGGAAGTGTTCTTGAATTTTGCAAGCCGCTGCTTAGAATCATGCAAGCCCATTCCTTGCAAGTCGCTGCTGAGTTTGTTGATGTTTATGGTCGCACCTGCATGGGATGGGCGACAACTGAAGCCTTGCCAGTCTTGGAGAAGGCACGGGATTGGGTGAACGAAACGGGGAGGGATGCGAGCTCTTCATGCGTTGGCTAAATCAGTTTTAATTTTACTAGGTAGATCTGATTCCCTTCCCAAGTTGTCTGATGTCTGCAACATATCAACTCTGACTCCAGTCCAGTTCTGGGCTGTGTGAGGCTTTGTCCTGCCAGTTTTGTTTGTATGTTTCGAGTTCATGGATGGCTTCACCATAGATCATGATTCAACTTCCAGCTCTGGAGGAGCGGAAGAGGCGCAGCACGTGCGAAGATCAAGGCGACTTAGCGCCCGTTCACATCAGTTTGATTTGTTTTGTGACAGTTTGAGGTTGCAACATAGACATTCTTAGGCCGATTGTAGGTTCGGATTAGGACCCATGATCCTACCCAAGCTAGGTCCAGTGCGAAAACGAGTGCGACAGTGGGCTAACGAGTGGCCGAACAACGAACCCTTGGTTGGCACCTACTCTCAATTTATTCAGACGATTGCTTGAAAATAGAAAATTAACAATGCAATTTCTATCATTCATAGTTGGGTCGGTCGGGTAGACACACTGAGCATGTTTGGGATATTCAGATGACCATTGGACTTGGTTTTGCAAGAGCATGGCATGATATGCAACAGTATTGCATTTTTTCTACCAAAAACGCGGGCTTTTTGCTTGCCTTGGGCCCACCCAATTAGTTTGGTATTTGTGGTCACGACGTGCCCCTTTGTTACTTCCAGCCATGTCTTGAACACTGAGGTAAGACCATCGACTACGCAGAACAGGACCAAGGGAGAGCCCAACGGATGCATATGCTGCATATGTACATCCACGTAGAACAGCAAATCACATATGATATTTTGTACTATGTACGTGTATATTTGGAGATATGCATGCACTCGGATATGACAACGCGCACACACACAGGGACGAGTGACATCCATGCTGGCCAAGTCCTAGGACGTGATCAAAACCGTGCCAAAGTATGCAATTCTCCACAGCTGCCCGGAAGAGAGCGCGGCGCAGCTGCGCATGCTCGAAAAGGGTCTGGTTGCGGATCACGCCGAGTCTCTTGCCCAGCAATTCGTATGTGGGTCACGCTTGACTGGGGTACCCAAAATGGGGCCAATTTGAAATTTGAAGGGTCTATGGGTTACTTCCCCGACAAATCAAACGAATTATCGCAGGTATGCTTCCCCAAGTTCTAAGCGATGTCCTATCAAGAATGAAGATCTTGTTGGAAGTGGAGTTCCATTTCTGCCAGCCGGACATTGGGCTGAGCGGACTGACAGCAGGAAAAACCTCTTTAAGAGGGAAAAAAACCTGCCAGTGATGACACTCTCCTTTAGGGAGCAAAGCTTGACAAACAGTACCCAAGAAATAAGGAATCACTTGACGTGGGAAAAGGAACCTGCACACCCCCCCGCCAGGCGTGCAGAGACCTCGCCACAAGAAGCAAACAACAAAGAAACTTACCCCAAGGTCTAGGGATAGAACAGTGCTACCGCTACTCACTGGGCGCAGGCGGCTCGGAGAAAGCCGCAGGGGCGGGACGCGAAGCAACAGCAGCAGGCGCAGCCGCGAAGCATCAGCGCGGAAAACACCTGCATTGCACCCGCACGCGTTGTCAAAAGGCACAAGGAGCGCAAACCGTAAGCGTAGGCAACCTTAGAGTGGAGTTCCACATGTATACACGTTCGTTTTGAAATGCAGCATTAGTTGAGAATGGGATGCATGTGGACATTGATTTTGCCTTTGTAGGGTTGCTGCTGGCAATCGAACTTCGAACTAGGCTGCTGAAAACTGGGGGCAGCTGCAGGGAAGTGCGAAGTCATCTAGTCGGGGGCTAGGGTGTCAAGGCGGTCAAGGAGCCAAGCTGCCTATGGTGCTTGTAGACAAGTCTAAGGATGGTGGGAAATCAGCCGTGGTCGAAGGACATTACACCACAGGACGCGAAGAAGTGGGTGGTGTCTCAATCTTCCGATATCTCACATCTGAAATTCGATCAAATCAGTCTTCGCCAGATTTAATGTCGACCCATTACAGTTACTTGTTATCCACGGTTTTTCAGGGTGGTACGATGTTGTCATCGACGTGCTGTACAGATGCATCAGCCTGAATGCCGCATTCGATGCAATTTGCCAGCTAGTATTTTTGAGATGTGTCGGGATCATATTCCCTCATGAAAACCTTCATGAATTTTGGAGATCCTTGGCTGGGTGTGAATTTTCGGCCGCTTTGGAACTGGAAACCAATGGCTGGTCCTGGTGCAGGCTGTGCAACAGATCTTTGCCCGATTCTTTCACGGCTTTTTCCCACAAGTCTGGTAGTCGCATCCCAGGAGTGGTGCGAAGGTCTGAGCGTTGGTCCCGACCACAGCGGAACCATGACCAACCCCGTGGATCTCACCAAGGCCCAGCTAGTGGGCTCTGAGGGACTGAAATCCGCCCACACCGCTTTGGCGGTGAAGGCGTGCTTATTGGGGGGCAAAACAGCAACACTAAATGCTCAATGACATTTGTTAATATAGCAGTCGCTATATCAGCTTTAGCTGGGGGGGGGCAAAAACGGTTTCGCACCGAGACCAGAATACGGTGGTGTTTTCGACATTTTTCGATGATTTGGGTGTCTGAGCGCAAGAGGGTATTGAAATGGAATTTTGGGTCATTTTGGTAGCTTTCCGGCAATGGAAAAACGGCCAAAAATGAAAAAAAACATTGTACATAGCAAGATTTTGCAGGGTTTTTGGATGCCAGAGCATTGAAAACACTGCAAAAACAAGTGTTTTGGACTGACGTTATAGCAAAAAACGTGTAAATTACCGTATGCTTGACTGGAAACATTACAAAAACACTGTCAAAAAGATGTTTTGGAAGGATTTACTGCCTTTATGGCAAAAAACGTGTAAAATACCGTCTGATTGACTGGAAACATTGGAAAAACACTGTCAAAAACAATGTTTTGGAAGGATTTCTTATATATGTTGGAGTTGGCTACCGGCATTGGCACATGGAAAAATTGAAGAAAACACTGTAAATAGCGGTATTTTCAACGGTTGGGGAGATAAGGGAATTGGAAGCATTGTCGAACATGATGTTTTCGACCGGTTTTATGGCGACAGAAGTGTAAAGTACCGTGCTTTGAAGGAAACCATTGCAAAAACATGGAAACACATTCAAAGAACACGGGATTTGGGGGACTATCTAGGCGTCGTTGTCTAGATATTTGAAATTCCGCAGCTTGGAGAGCCTCCAAGGGAGGGAAAAGTGAAAATTCCATAGCTTGGGAAACTGTCACGGCGGGGAAAAGTCAAAATTCCCTAGCTTGGGAAGCCCCCACGGGGGGGAAAAGTGAAAATTCCCTAGCTTGGGGAGCCCCCACGGGGGGGAAAAGTGAAAATTCCCTAGCTTGGGGAGCCCCCACGGGGGGGAAAAGTGAAAATTCCCTAGCTTGGGGAGCCCCACGGGGGGGAAAAGTGAAAATTCCCTAGCTTGGGGAGCTCCCACGGGGGGGAAAAGTGAAAATTCCCTAGCTTGGGGAGCCCCCACGGGGGGGGAAAGTGAAAATTCTTAGCTTGGGGAGCCCCCACGGGGGAAAACAACCCTTAGCCCCTCTCACGGACCGAAATAAACCTGCGGTGTGGGCGGCCACCCCACGCGAAGCGAGGTGAATAGGGTTGAGGGGTTTTTGGTGATGGTGATTTGAGGATACAAGTATCAGGGTGGCGAATATGCAGAAATATGGATTTAGCCTTCAAGACATGGGGACGTTGGGCTGCAAATGAGATTTTACTTTTGACCACTAAAAGCTTGGGTTTGACTTGGTTGATGATAGAGATGTGCAAAAATATATATATATATATATATATTATATATACACACATACACACGTACATGTATTTATGCAAATATGAATTTATGCGTATTCATGTTTGCAAGTGTACATATGTAAACACACAAGATATACGCAGTATAAATTTGAAACTTTTGTACGCATCAAATTCCAACCTGATACTTGCTTTCTGCTTTATCGTGGAGTTTCGTTGGCTGGCTGCATGGTGACAATTTGAACTGGGAAATCCAATCAACCAAGCAATGTATTGGCATGGCACCTGTGTTTTTTTTCACCAATGCTCACGCGCAATTTGATCGGGGAAATTTAATTGGGGCAACACTGTGCCGGACCAGGGTTTTTTGTGTTGCCGAACACTTTGAACATTCAATTCCCACATGGACATGTCATAGCAGGTTTCTCACCGACACGCATCAGGCAATTCCAGGGCTTGATACGACATGTACGGAGAACGCACTCCAAACCACGGAAAGGGGACAGGTATTATGCACAAAAAAAACAGGTCTTATGCCACTGAAGTAATCGGACCAGTCCCGGTCGGAAAGCTCCACCGCCCCAGAACGTGATCTCGGGCAAGTGCATCAATCAATTTACACTGCCTCTCGTGGAGACCAGCTCAAGAACTATTGTGGGGTACGTACACGCCACTTGGACCGGCCCTTGCTGCCTCATGCTTTTATTGCTTTTTGTCTGAATGTTATAGATGTGACCTGACATTCTTTTTGTTCAAGGCTGCGGTGCCGACAAAATTCAAGGGTCGTGATCGGTGTCCACGGCCATCTCCGGTACGTATAGTCAGGGTGATGGGGGGTGATATTGCAAGATCCTCCAAATATCCAACCCCTGAAATTTGAATTGCATTTAGTCACTTGGTTCTTACAATTTGCGAGTGCTGGACTCTAAGGCGCGCCGTGGAGGTGCAAAAACACGCATGACTATAGCGCAATTGAAGGTTGCTTGGCATTTTCAACTCGACCGTTTGCTGGTTTCAGACATTCATTGCGCTTTTGATGCAACGGACCCAAGGTAACTCACCTGTGCTTAGCATCGGGCTTCCATGTTTGCCCACCAACCAGTCCTTCCCAAGGTTGAGGAAACCCACACAAGACAAGGCCTGGGAGGTCTTCTGATTCGTGCTGCCGAAGACCACTCCAAAGGATGCTTGCCTGCGGTTGGCTGGGGCTGGCAGGGCCTAAGTCAAGGAAAGCAAAAAAACTATGGCATTCAAACTTGGCATTTCAATGACCTTTACTCGTACTGGTAGACCATCCCGGTTTTGTGCCATTGTGTGCGTTGTCAATTGAAGTGATGAGATGGTTTGTTTTTTTTCGTTTTTCGTTTGCTGCGAGGCAGTGGGTGGAGACCCGCAAATTCTTTGGGGTACAATCCCATCCAACAATGTCCAGAGGTATTGTGAACAAAGGAACCCAACTTTTGCAATCCAAAAACATATATACAGATTGGGATCACGTTGTAGTCTAAGGCCAGAATCAATCAAAACCCTGCAGCTTGTTGAAGGGGATAATCCCTACCAGTCATACTTCTTCTTTCAAATGGAATCCGCAGGTCAATGCGGAGTTAAAATTACCTTTCACGTTCGCATGTCACCGCGCTGTCACTGCATTTTCCTGAAGATTATTCATTCTCGTGCGGGTGCATCAGCCGCCAAACCGTTCGAGATCTTAGAGACGTACATAAGATCTTGGGAAGATCACTGAAGTTTGCACATGGCAAAACGCTGGCTGCAGCCAGATATGTCATAAGGTGACATAACTTGACCCATGTTACCAGCGGTTGCAACCGAATTCGAAGCAATGCGCCCTAATGGTCCTAATGTTGGTTTAACAGTTGGTTTTGTCATGTTTTGCGCAGGTGCCGCCATGCTGTTGTCCCAAGGAATGGGGTGGGAATGCCGGACCACTTCCATCACAGTATTGAAAGAGAACGTGACTCGACTTTAAGGGACGAGAGGACTTGAAGTTTTCCCTGTGTTTTGCCAGCTTGTCCAGATTCGCTTTTGATCCAATATCTAGCAACTATTTTTGTGTTACCTTTCCGTATTTGTATATCCTTTGAGAGCTTCAAGGGTGGAGTGGTTCAATCACCAGGCTTTCAGCGAATGATTGTTGATAATTTTCACAGCAGATTCAATTTTGTGAGACTATTAGTGTACTCTTAGGCCCTTTGTATCCCTTTGGCTGTTGGGCTTAGAAAAAATGGTTTCTTTGCTAAAGCACTTGGAAAAAAATGAAGTTGGGCAAACGGACAGCTGTCGTTTCTTCCCCAAGACTGTCTCGGGCGAAGTCGTTTCAGATCATGATGGTGTCGTCGGGTGGGTTTTTGATGCGTTTTGGGAGGATAAGAGAATACGGCTTTTCTAAAGGCTGAATGGTGATTGTTTTGTGTGCGGAATTGGTGCAAAAGAGGCTTCATGTCTTTCTGCTTGCCTTTTCAAGAGCTGACAAGTGACCAACTCATGTACAATAATATAATATATATGACATCTTCAGAAAGACTTATCTAAACAAACAAGCCTGCACCCTCCGGTTGGGGTGTCTTTTGGAGGTAGTTACTTTTTAAGTATGAAAAACTGAAAAACCTTCAAAAAACACCAATCGGAAGAGGCGCTGGGCTGGTACCTGCTACTAGCTCTGCTGTTTCGCCCGCTTCGCCGAGCGGATTTTGCCAACGACGAGAGGACTTTGGTCTCGTTTCCGAGATCGTGGCGAACGACTTGCAGCTAGAGAGGGCCATCGAGCGGATTTGCCACTCGGGGTCTAAGAAGCAACAAGGCGAAGTTCAAAACCTCTGGGATAGGGATTCTAGTACTGGTTTTCTTCTTGAAAGTTTGTGTTTTTTTTGGTGTTCACTATAGAGTTGACAAGTGTTTTGACATGTTTTGACCAACTAATGGGATGCAGGGATGGCCGGGTACAAGTAGGTGCCAGTTCTTGTTTTTTCGTTACTAGGCAAGCTAGTGAATTGAGTTCTAGTATGTTGGTTTGTTGCGATGTCCTGGTTGCCCAAATGGGCGAGTTCTTAATTTTTTCGTCTTAGCCCCGGTGACTTGGTTTGGTTCGATTTCCAAGACCGCTATCAACTGTGCAGTCCATCAGATCATGAAAAGACTGTGTCCGACAGAAGAAACCGTTGAGAGATGTTAAGGGTGTTAGACCGATTCTGGCCTTTGTATTTCAATGCAGCTCCTGTAAAGTGTGCAATCTTTCTGTATCTTATTCTATATCGAAGTACCTCACATACGGTGTTCCGCTTGGTTTGGGGGGTTGTTTGTGTTTGCTCCTGGCTGTTTTTTGTGTGTCTTGCTAAGCGCCGTGTTGTGCATCTGGGTTCTCAGGTGACAAGCTCTCTCAGTGCGCTCCCACCGCCGTGCAAAGCTTAGCGGCTTAGCGTAGGGCCAAGAGAGCTGACCAGCGGAGGGAGCTGAGAAATGGGCTTAGGTTGCGAAATCCAAAATCTTCATTCAGAAGGCAAGGCTGTTAGGGTGGGTGGATGAAGGATAGCTGAGGTGGGATTTGACAGCGGTCATGCTGTAGAGGGGGGAAACAGGGTTTTGAACAGACCTTTGGTTGAAGCACGGATCAAGTGCCAAATCAGCAAAGGCTATGGCTGCGTCTATTCTTGGGCCATGGAGGGCAGCAAGGTCTACAAGTTGCGCATCCGCGGAAACTACGATGCGTTGTGCAGAAAGCTAGGACAAGAGCTTCGCCAGGAGATCTATGAAGAGCATTTCCGTCAGGTGCAAGAAGGGCAAAGTCCAGAGGATGTTTCGGAAGATTTTGTGAAGGTCATTGAAGAAAAGCTGAGTCCTTGCCAGATGTCTCTCTTCAATATTTGTAGGGGCATGAATTTCAAGAATTTTACCTGTCGGCCAGCTTGGGCAGGTGGTGCTCACATTTTTGTAACCCCAGCAGTGGCAGATGAAGTTGAAGATGCTTTTGAGGGAGATGACTTGGGAAATCGTGATGTGGTTGTGAGCCCGGAATATGTGAGAGTTGTCGTTGATGCCTTGGCAGAGGGCAGTGGCAGTAGGAAATCTTGTGCCTATGTGCATGAACCATCCTCAACAGCCCATCCTCTGAGAGTTTTCTCTCAAGTTGATGCCAAGAACGAGTTCCTTCAGTCCTGGATGACAACTCACAGAGTTTCCTTAGACGACCTGGAGGCTGTCTCTGAATATAGTCTTGATGGATCCAAGTCAGCTAGGCTCACCCATTCAACTGGCTCTGTTCCACGTGGAGAGGAGAAGTCCTGGGGTCATTCGAATGCTTGTGTGGCAAGGTCCAGCCAAGATGGTGTTAGTCTGGGGCCGACGGCTTACAAGAAGTTTTCTCTAATTTCTGCCGTTGGTTTGGCTGAAAACGCAACTGAAGTGACAGAAGTGCTTACTGACACAGATCTTGACACTGAGACCTGGGAGCCTGGATCGGCGATGGCGGTGGGTGACTTTTTGGAACATCATTTCGATGCAAAACCACGGCCTATGTTGAAAACTGGCCCCGCCTTTGGCTCATTTTTCTCGGAACACTTTGCACGCATGACTTCAGATGTTGCAGCTCCATATCTCGAGTGCTTGCCCTTGGAAAACAGCCTGGCCTCCACTGATTCAGATGACAGGTCTGCTTTGAAGCGAGTCTATAAGCTCTTGAAGTCAGTGGCTATGGACCTTTTCAGCGCGGAGTCTTTAGATGTCTTTCTGCGCAAAAGTGTGCCTCCCGAGGACACGCCCCCAGCATTGTTGAAGGCTTTCGACGAATCCACCGAGATTCTCGCTGCCGAGATGGCCGAACTCCTTGCTGAGGAGTGTAAGCCGTTGCTGAGTCAGAAATGGCATCAGTGGAAGAAGAACCATAGAGGAACCCAGGATGCTGGATGTCACAAGGCAGCTGAAGACTTGAGGGATTCTTTTCGTGAGGTGGTTGCCGCAACATGCGCCAAAGTAGACATCACGATCGTGGCACGTCGTGCTTGGTCAAAGCAGAATGAGTCGCGCCGCCAAGCAATGAAAGACCAGGAGAAGGCCAACCAAGACCAGGTGGAAGATGTGAAGGGTAAAGGTAAAGGAAAGACCAAAATAAGAAAGTTCAAGAATCGCCAGGGAGCATGTGATAGAAAGAATGGGCGTATGGACGAGTCTCACCAGGCTTGGCAAGGGGAAAAGGCCAGCATGATTAGTCGCCCAAGACCCCCAGTTAATCTCCTGCGATAAGTTTGCTTGGCTTTGAAAGGATGTGATCACACACCAAGCCAGCAAGCTGCACTTTTGATTCTTCAAAGTCAATTCAAAATTCATCAATTCAATCCATTTTTGGAGGCATCGGCGGTGGCAATGCCTATCGATTGCATGTGTTTGACAAAGTTTTGCAGCTCCAAAAAGGTATGTTTTTTGGGAAATTTTGTTTTGCTTTGCAGCAGATATCTGTTTGCCTAGCACTTTTCCTGTTTGATGGTGGGCAGATTGGAAGTGTGCCGATGAGCTTACAAGTCCATGAAGAACTTGCTGGTCACATAGCGTCTTGGCTGTCGTCCTGGGAGCTTGCACACGTTTGCAGTATGCCATAAATAAAACTCCCCTCAATGTTAACTCATGAGACTCTAGGATCTTAACTCCCAATGTAGGTCCAGGAAATTTGTTTGTTTATATTTTTCCCCAACAGCAGAATGCTTTGGGGTCTCAGCCCACATAGCCTTCGGGGTGCTCCGGGGCACTGCTCGACCCTGCCGCCTCGTTTCGCCGGTTCCGGGAACCCGAGAACCGGTTCCGGGAACCAGGGTTCGGGGCAAGGTTCCGGGAACCCAGGGTTCCGGGAACCAGGGTTCGGGGCAAGGTTCCAGGAACCCAAGGTTCCGCAAACCAGACTTTCAAGCAAGGTTCTGGGAACAATGGGTTCTGGCTACCTTTTGGGTTCCGGGACGTCAAGGTTCCGGGAAGGTTCCGGGCACTCTTGGCTTTCGACAAGGTTCCGGGAACCTTACCATGGTTTCGAGCAGCCAGAGCCTGGATTGTGCCAAAGTTCTGGAATCACCGGAACACCAATTTTGAGACATCCTGCAAACCCAGAGTTTGGGGAACCAGGATTCTGGCAAGGTTCCAGCAACACTGGGTTCCGACAAGGTTCCGAGAACCACCACAGATGCGGACCCACAGTTTGGATATACTTCCTGGATTATGCCACAGGTTCCGGACAGGGACAAGGTCAGAGTTCTGGCAAGGTTCCGAGGTTCCGGAAACAACCCAGGGGTCGGATATACGCCGTGGGTTGTACCAAGGTTCATGCTACGGACAGGGTCCCAGAAAACCAATTTGCAAGGAAACCAAGGTTCCAGGACCAAAAGGGCCCGGTCAACGAGCAATCGCTGACAGGGGGGGGCACAGCGTGACAATAAATCAGCGCGTCTCGGTTCCGCAAACCCAGGGTTCCAATATACGCTGTGGGTTGCGCCAAGGTTCCGGAAACGAGGGTTCCAGGAAGACAAGGTTCCAGGGACAAGGTTCCAGGAACACAAGGGATTCCGGAAATCCCCCAGCCAATCTTGGGTGCTTTGTGGCCCCTCACTGAATTCCGAATTCATGTTCGTTTGCTCAGTGGGCGCACAGCGTCGGTCGACTGACCTGTTCTGATGTTGCTGTAAAATCTTCTGTTTGAACTGTTCCGATGTCGCATCTACCAAAGCACATGCCACATCAAGCAATTAAGTTCGATGCCTTGGAACACCTAAATATTGGCAGCAAACCTGTGTGAGGCTTCTCGAAGCCAGGTAGATGATTTTTTGAAGCTAAGTGACCAAACAGCAACACACAATGAAACTTCAGACACAGTTGTGACACAACAACCAAGTATTGACATGAAACTAATTCTGGAATCATGATGGACAATTTGGCCAAAACCAACTGTTTCACCAATCACTTGCGCAAACTGACCGATGTTGTCCAAGCACGACAAGATAATCCCAAACCAACACACACACACAATTTTGTAAACACTTAATGACACACCGTGGTCTGCAAATACTGCCATTCGTTTGTAACCAAATGTATGTAAATTCAACTATGCGCGCTTTCTTAAAGAACATGTCTCATCCTGCCTTTGGTCCAAAAGGGGAGGGGGCAAGGCGGGCAAAAAATCGCCGAAGAGACTTAGGCTATGGAATCCTGTTCCTGCCATCATTAATCCGTCTTGGGTTGCAAAGTTGGACCACTGTTTGAAACCAACCGCTGCCGGTTCCGGGAACCAGGGTTCCGGGCAAGGTTCCGGAACTCAGGGTTCCGGGAACCAGGGTTCGGGGCAAGGTTCCAGGTTCCGCAAACCAGACTTTCAAGCAAGGTTCTGGGAACAATGGGTTCTGGCTACCTTTTGGGTTCCGGGACGTCAAGGTTCCGGGATCCCCAGGTTCTCGGCGCCAGGAAGGTTCCGGGCACACTTGGCTTTCGACAAGGTTCCGGGAACCTTACCATGGTTTCGAGCGGTTCTGGAATCACCGGAACACCAATTTTGAAACATCCTGGAAACCCAGAGTTTGGGGAACGAGGGTTCCGGCAAGGTTCCAGCAACACTGGGTTCCGACAAGGTTCCGAGAACCACCGCGGATGCGGACCCACAGTTTGGATATACTTCCTGGATTATGCCACAGGTTCCGGACAGGGACAAGGTTGCGGAACAACAATTTTCAAGAAGCCCAGCCCAGGTTCCAGAGAACCAGGGTTCTGGCAAGGTTCCGAGGTTCCGGAAACAACCCAGGGGTCGGATATACGCCGTGGGTTGTACCAAGGTTCATGCTACGGACAGGGTCCCAGAAAACCAATTTTCAAGGAAACCAAGGTTCCAGGACCATATAGGCCCTGTCAACGAGCAATCGCTGACAGGGGGGGGCACAGCGTGACAATAAATCAGCGCGTCTCGGTTCCGCAAACCCAGGGTTCCAATATACGCTGTGGGTTGTGTCAAGGTTCCGGAAACGAGGGTTCCAGGAAGACAAGGTTCCAGGAACACAAGGGATTCCGGAAATCTCCCAGCCAATCTTGGGTGCTTTGTGGCGGGTTCCGCACATGCCGATTCATGTTCGTTTGCTCAGTGGGCGCACAGCGTCGGTCGACTGACCTGTTCTGATGTTGCTGTAAAATCTTCTGTTTGAACTGTTCCGATGTCGCATCTACAAAAGCACATGCCACATCAAGCAATTAAGTTCGATGCCTTGGAACACCTAAATATTGGCAGCAAACCTGTGTGAGGCTTCTCGAAGCCAGGTAGATGATTTTTTTAAAGCTAAGTGACCAAACAGCAACACACAATGAAACTTCAGACACAGTTGTGACACAACAACCAAGTATTGACATGAAACTAATTCTGGAATCATGATGGACAATTTGGCCAAAACCAACTGTTTCACCAATCACTTGCGCAAACTTACCGATGTTGTCCAAGCACGACAAGATAATCCCAAACCAACACACACACACAATTTTGTAAACACTTAATGACACACCGTGGTCTGCAAATACTGCCATTCGTTTGTAACCAAATGTATGTAAATTCAATTATGCGCGCTTTCTTAAAGAACATGTCTTATCTTGCCTTTGGTCCAAAAGGGGACGGGGCAGGGCGGGCAAAAAATCGCCGAAGAGACTTAGGCTATGGAATCCTGTTCCTGCCATCATTAATCCGTCTTGGGTTGCAAAGTTGGACCACTGTTTGAAACCAACCGCTGTTGGGGATCTACGTCGGCTTATTTTTTATAGAAGAACCCAAGAAACAGGCCAAAGATCTATGCCTAATTATTCCGACAGCCCGAGACCAGGCTGAGCGTATGGAAGACCCTGAGTTCGAGGATTCCATCCGAGCACTTCTAGACAAGGCGGTTGTTTTTTTGGAGTTTGGAGCGATGGATATCGATTTTGGGCAGAATTTTGAGTTTATGGGATCTATACCTGGTGGTTGGATTCTGTGGATTTACTAAGGTGTGGGTTGGTTTTCAAAGATGTGGAGCCTTTTTAATTATGGGCTTTAGCATGGCTTGGCCACGTGAGTTATAGATAGGTTATCCGTCGTCTTGCCAATATCTACTAGGCAAAAGTATGATTTTGTATGATTGGTCATGATATGCCATCGCCATGATGGCAGAAAAGCTGGCGAATGTTTGCGGCAGGCTACCTGCGAGGGCAAAAACCTGGAACCATGATGTGTGCAGTGTGCCAAAGTGCCATTGTCCTGCAGGCTCATGCGCCACTGAAAAAGGGCACACGTCTGAAGCTAGCTCTGCACAGTGTCCTTGTAGGTAGCTTCAGAAATTTGAAGGACCTTTTGTTTGGTGGATGTTGCTGTCCCATCACATCACAAGACATGATAGTGCAGTGCGTGATACGACGCATTGCGTGTTTTTTGTTGTTGCCTTTGGTTCAAGTACCCAAGCCTTCTGACGTTGACAAAGGAATCAGTCAGGGCCCTCAGCAGTCCTGTCCTGCCGACTCATGGACCAATAGGTTTTCTTGAATGGGTTTTCTTGTGACCCACCCAGTATGTGATCTGATGCTCTGCTTAAGGATCTTGCTTCGCAATGCCGCCAGCACATGCCTCAGCAGTTGCGCGAAATTTTTCACAGATGTGGCACGCGGCAGTGTGAAGTTTGAAGCTGACGTGCCAAGGGGAAGGCGGGAACACTGGTAGTGTCTGGTGGCAGCCACGTTGTTGGTGGTCCTGGTGGTGTTATTGTCACCGGTGGTGGCACTGCCGCGGCTGCTGGTGGTGCTGCGGCTGATGGCGGAGGCGGGTCACAGCCCAGAGTTCATGATCATCAACTTGGGGAAAATTTATGAGTGTCTCAAAATGGATGGAGGATATATGATATATGTATATTTATATCTACGTAAATATACACACACACATGGTTTTGACAAAGTCATGAAAATCCCACCCCATTATGAAACAAATTTGTTGCTGTTCTACCAAACACCTTTGCTGTCATTGTCATGAGCTGTTGTCTCCTAGACAAAATGCCTCAAATTCCATCAAAGTCAAACGTCCTGAGCCTCCTTTTATGCAGGCGGCGGGTTGATGGGTCCCTTGGCACGAACAAAAGTACGAAGGGAGACCGCGTATGATGGGCGACAGGAGAAATCGTCATCATGCATAATTCATCCGATAACATTTCTCAAGATCTACAGTGTATGATAATGCACTACACATACAGTAGTTCGTTTTGAATTTGCATAGCAAATCTACATTTAAAAACATCATTGAATTATAGAAAACGGTGATGAACTGGCCGTGGTGTGCCCTGATCCACGGCGGCTTGTTTTAAGCCTTTTAAGCACTTCGCACGCTCCGGTTCTGCCGAGGATGTTTCTACGAGAGGTATCAGGAGTCCAGCAGTGAGGCGATCACCTATACTGGTCCTGGTGCAGAGCTCAGCGATGGAAGACCGATTGGATAACTATCGGCGATTTGGAAACTATGATTCCGAAACTACAAATCCCCGATTTGGAAACCAAATCTCCGCGATTTGACAACTAATCTCCGATTTGGTAACTATGTTTTGGGAACTGAGATTCCCCGACTTGGTAACTCCGATTTGGTAACTACAATTCTCAGATGCTTGGTAACTAAAACTCTCCGACTTGGTGACTAATTGAGGAAACCAGACCTGACAGATTCGGCAAGCATGGTTTACACCTTGGCAAATTCGATTTAAGAATTAGGAATCGCCTCGAGCAACTATCCTTATTTGAATATCACGACTTCTTGAGCAAGAGTATGCCTCAACCTCACAGCTTCACCTCTCCAAGACTTCTTGTCATGATTCCAAGTCATTTTCTAAACCTCCCCCCCAAAACCCTACATGCAAGAGTATTCCTCAACTTCACAGCCTCCCCTCTCCAAGACTTCTTGTTAGATTCTAAGTCATTTTCTAAACCTCCCCCCCAAAACCATACACGCAAGAGTGTGCCTCAACTTCACAGCTTCACCTCTCCAAGCCTTCTTGTCACGATTCCAAGTCATTTTTTTACCTCCCCCCCCCCAAAACCCTACACACAAGAGTATGCCTCAACTTCACAGCCTCCCCTATCCAAGACTTCTTGTTAGAGTCTAAGTCATTTTTTAAACCCCCCCCCCAAAACCCTACATGCAAGAGTATTCCTCAACTTCACAGCCTCCCCTCTCCAAGCCTTCTTGTCACGATTCTAAGTCATGTTCTAAACCTCCCCCGCAAAACCATACATGCAAGAGTATGCCGCCTCAACTTCACAGACTCCCCCCTTCAAGAGTTCTTGTCACGATTCCAAGTCATTTTTTTAACTCCCCCCCCCAAAACTTTAGATGCAAGAGTATGCCTCAACTTCACAGACTCCACCCTCCAAGAGTTCTTGTCACGATTCCAAGTCATTTATTAAACCTCCCCCCGCAAAACCCTACATGCAAGAGTATGCCTCAACTTCACAGCTTCACCTCTCCAAGACTTCTTGTCACCATTCCAAGGCATGTTTTAAACCTCCCCCTTCCAAAACCCTACATGCAACAGTGTTCCTCAACTTCACAGCCTCCCCTCTCCAAGACTTCTGGGCACGATTCCAAGTCATTTTTTTAACCTCGCCCCCCCAAAACCTTGCATGCAAGAATATTTTCTGTTTCTCTAAAACTTCACTGGGGTGGGGGCAGTCGCCCCACACTGTGGCTTTCCTTGTTTACATTCAGCACCAGTCCAAAGAAAAAAAACACGCGGATAGCTGTGGATTCATTCGTGACTATCGTTTCCATCGAACACGTTTGATTTGGTTGCCCACAGAGACATGTCATTTTGCAGATAACATGGTTACCGAATAACTGTTTTTGGTTACTGAATCAATGTTTCATAGTTTCTAAATAACACGTTATAGTTACCAAAAAATATGGTTTCCAAATAAGACGTCTTAGTTACCAAATCAGAGTTCGTAGTTATCAAATCACATGGTTAGTAAATAATACCTTTTAGTTACCGAATCTGCGTTTCATTGTTTCCAAATAACACGTTTTAGTTACCAAATAACATGGTTACCCAATAATCCGTCTTGGTTACCGAATCAAATGGTTTAGTTACTCAATAAAACGTTTTGGTTACCCAATAAAACGTTTTAGTTACCCAATAAATCCGTGACCTGAGCTCAGCAATGACGCAATGACTTCACAAGATGTGTGGCACACACATACAGCATACATAATTCATACATTCATATATAACATAAATGTAATATGCACAACCACGTGTGTGTGTGTATGGATATGTGATATATATATATATAGATGCACATGTTTTTGTGCATATAATATATACATACATATACATGTAGAGGAATCGCACATATAGATAGACACATATAGACTATATGCATCTACAGTATTCTACCGTCATTTTAGATCCGTTGACATGAATCTGCATACATGTACATTTATCGACATAACCTGACCCAACCGGCAAGGGCCTATGAAACTGATCTTTCAGGGAAGCGGTTTCTTGAGATGAGAGCATTTTATGAAAAAGGTCAGTACGTACATGCGAAAAATGTATAATTACACAGACATATACACGCTAAGGCTAACCTTTTGGCATAAAAGCTATTACTGTAGTCATGTTGAAACAATATACTACGCTTGGTTTCGCATACTCCAAACGTTGATGTTGAACATCTCTTGCCCTGCTTCTTGCAAGTTCCTTCTGCAAGTGAATGTGCGAATATCCAGCTCAAGCCTTGTCAAGTACATCAGTACATCACAACTTGTGAACCCTTTTCTATCCATTTCTGTCATTTTGAGGATTGATGCATGTATTGATGGACGCATGGATTTCCTTGGTTCTTCTTTGCTTTCCAGTATGCGCAAATCGTTTTTTGTGGATACAGTGACATTGCCTGTAGTCGTGAACACTGCTTTTGAGGCCAGGGAAACCTCGAAAGCCGCCTGGTCGACGTTGGTGCAGGGCAGGGAAGCTACACCAAGATGAAGACACCGACATATGCCTGGAGGCGGGAGAGAAGTTTTGGGGATAGCTTGCATGGCTTTTAACAGCTGGGTTTTGAGTTGCACATGCTCTGGAATCCAGCTTGCTGTTCAACAGACCTGCGTTCTTTGGGGATTCTTTGTGCCATAATGTTCGACAGGCCGCGCATTTCCGTGATTGCTTGCTCAGGCTGTTTCTGCATCTTGGCACCAGCATAAACTTAATTTCTGCTGGCGAAGATGCTTGTAGATTGGAACGCATTGGAACTTGATCCCAGCCCTAAGGTTGCTGTTTCCTCATCTTGCCCTTCCTGTGGATTTGTGAGGCAGACACTGAACCACATTTTCAATTTGCATAGAAGAAGATGGGAAAAGTCAAGTTGTCAGGTTTCATTCCAGAATTCATGTTGGTAGAGCTGCTTTCAACCACATTGTGGGGAAGGCACATTGAGAATTCTTGCAGTTTTCAGATCAGATCAGGTACGTTCGTTTTTCACAAACGAGTCGTGCTATGTGTGTGGGAGCCAAGGCAGCAAAAATTGTGTAGCAAGGCAAGAGCAGGCAGTTGCACCATTGCACTGCTGAACTAAATATCTCATTGAAACAACTGAAGTACAAAGGTTATCCAGCCATGTTTTGAAGATCAACCCTGACGTTTCAAAACACTCTGGCCCTCCGAAAGCACCACCAGAAGCTAAGAAATTGGCAGCAAGCACCATTTTCCTGCAGGACCAAAAACGTACATTAGTTTTGGTCGTAGCAGAAACATGGGTAATTTCCCGGAATTTCTGGATAATTTACGGTGAAATCATGAGCTAAGGATTGGAGACCAGTTCTTGGAAGAAGAACACTGAAGAACAACATATTTGAATACTCTATCTTCTAAAACCAGTTTTTTTCCTGATCTTAGCCCCAAAATAGAAAGCGTAAACGCTTTCTTTTTCACTGATACTGGTGCAAGGCATCACCGTTCCCCAATGACAGAGGTGTGGGTTTGACCAGAAATGGTGGATACCGTGGATACATGTGGATACCGTGTGGGCAAGTCTGGGGAAAACATGGGGAAGTGATATGAAATGATGGTAAACTGCTGGATTGTGAGACCTTTTTTTGACCCACATTGGTCATTTGCGGGAAACTGCAAGCTGTGCACCCAGGGGTCAAGACTACATCCCTCCCGCGCAGGGATGCCCCAGATGGGAATTTGAGACGATTTTGAGACGATCCATGGGAAGCCATGGGATATATACTTCAAATTTGTCGATTTCATCTGATTTCATGGTGATGATTGTGAAACTGATGGTCTGGTAAAGTTAGCAATGTCGCTGATGGGATCGCTCCATTGCTGAGGCCACTTCCAGAGCCGGGGAGCCGAATGGGGATATCAGGGATGCCAAAGTGATGGGAATGTGAGATGATCAATTGTGGGATACCTCGAATTTTGCACATTTCATGGTGAAAATGAATGAACATTTCATGGTACACCATAGATCACCATGGTAAATCAGCGGATTTTGGGCTAGTGGATTGTTGACCCAAACAATTTGTCCGCACAACTTGCAAATGGCAGGCCGACAGAGCCGAAGTACCACGATGTGGTTCGCCGCCACTACAACACAGTCTACAGGAAGGTCCCTGTGAACCACTACGTGGCTCGGCCATAACCTGGATGACTCCAGCGAGAAAGGGGAAGGGCCTCGCTTCGGAACGCGTCTTCAGGCATCGCTTCGGAACGCGCTCTCATGCATCGCTTTCGAACGCGCCTCCTCACCATCATCATCATCATCATCATCGTCATCATCATCATCATCATCATCTTCTTCTTCATTCCTCACCATCATCATCAGCATTTGCATCATGCTTCTTCTTCCGTTTATTCCTCTTCTTCTTCTTCTTTTTGGCCATCCTCTTCCTCATCAGCCTCATCCTCCTCATTATCCTCATCGTCAACAGCACGATCATCATCAGCAGCATCATCAAGTTTCTTCTATTTTTCTTCAGCATATTTATTCTTCTTCTTCGCCGCCAACACCATCATCATCATCGTCATCGTCATCATCATCATCATCATCACCAACACCATCGACATCCTCCTCATCATCATCATCATCATCAGCAAGATATCAACCCTAAAGGTGTCGTGGCTCTTCTTACATCAAGTGCAACAAGATATAAACCCTAAAGGTGTCGTGGCTCTCCTTACATTAAGTGCAACAAGATATTAACCCTAAAGGTGTCGTGGCTCTTCTTACATCAAGTGCAACAAGGTATAAACCCTAAAGGTGTCGTGGCTCTTCTTACATCAAGTGCAACAAGATACAAACCCTAAAGGTGTCATGGCTGTCCTTTCATTAAGTGCAACAAGATATAAACCCTAAAGGTGTCGTGGCTCTTCTTACATCAAGTGCAACAAGGTATAAACCCTAAAGGTGTCGTGGCTCTTCTTACATCAAGTGCAACAAGGTATAAACCCTAAAGGTGTCGTGGCTCTTCTTACATCAAGTGAGACAAGATATAAACCCTAAAGGTGTCGTGGCTCTTCTTACATCAAGTGCAACAAGATATAAACCCTAAAGGTGTCGTGGCTCTCCTTACATTAAGTGCAACAACAAATAAACCCTAAAGGTGTCGTGGCAGTCCTTAGATCAAGTGCAACAACATACAAACCCTAAAGGTGTCGTGGCAGTCCTTACATCAAGTGAGACAAGATATAAACCCTAAAGGTGCCGTGGCTCTTCTTACATCAAGGGCAACAAGATATAAATCCTAAAGGTGTCGTGGCACTCCTTACATCAAGTACAACGAGATATAAAGCCTAAAGGTGTCGTGGCTCTTCTTACATTAAGTGCAACAAGATTTAAACCCTAAAGGTGTCGTGGCTCTTCTTACATCAAGTGTAACAAGATATAAACCCTAAAGGTGTCGTGGCACTCCTTACATCAAGTAGAACAAGATATAAACCCTAAAGGTGTGGTGGCTCTTCTTAGATTAAATGCAACCAGATATAAGCCCTAAAGGTGTCGTGGCTCTTCTAACATCAAGTGCAACAAGATATAAGGTGTCGTGGCACTCCTTACATCAAGTACAACCAGATATAAACCCTAAAGGTGTCGTGGCTCTCCTTACATCAAGTGCCATAACATGTAAACCCTAAAGGTGTCGTGGCTCTTCTTACATGAAGTGCAACAACATGTAAACCCTAAAGGTCTCGTGGCAGTCCTTACATCAAGTGCAACAAGATATAAGCCCTAAAGGTGCCGTTGCTCTTCTTACATCAAGTGCAACAAGATATAAACCCTAAAGGTGTCGTGGCCCTTCTTACAAGATAAGAACCTCAAAGGTGTCCTGGCTCTTGTTACATGAATTGCAACAACATGTAAACCCGAAAGGTGTCGTGGCACTCCTTACATGAAGTGCAACAAGATGTAAACCCTAAAAGTGTCGTGGCTCTTCTTACATCTAGTGCAACAAGATATAAGCCCTAAAGGTGCCGTGGCTCTTCTTACATCAAGTGTAACAAGATATAAACCCTAAAGGTGTCGTGGCACTCCTTACATCAAGTAGAACAAGATATAAACCCTAAAGGTGTGGTGGCTCTTCTTAGATTAAATGCAACCAGATATAAACCCTAAAGGTGTCGTGGCTCTTCTTACATGAAGTGCAACAACATGTAAACCCTCAACGACATGTAAACCCTAAAGGTGTCGTGGCTCTTATTACATGAAGTGCAACAACATGTAAACCCTAAAGGTGCTGTGGCTCTTCTTACATCAAGTGCAACAAGATGTAAACCCTAAAGGTGTCGTGGCTCTTCTTACATCAAGTGCAACAACATATAAACCCTAAAGGTGTCGTGGCAGTCCTTACATCAAGTGCAACAACATGTAAACCCTAAAGGTGTCGTGGCAGTCCTTACATCAAGTGCAACAACATATAAATCCTAAAGGTCTCGTTGCTCTTCTTACATCAAGTACAACAAGACTTTTGTTTCATATATTCACCTTCATTTTCTGTGGCAGGCGTGGGACCTTTTGACATCGACCTTCATTTTGCGTGGCAGGTGTGGCACTTTTGTACATTGACTGTCCTTTTACGTGGCAGGCGTGGGACTTTATGACATGGTTGAAACGAGTCAAATTCTCATACGAGGAGGTTTTTTGTGTTGGTCTCGCTTTGGAACGCGTTTTTCTTCCAAAGTCTCGCGCCTGTCACTAAATCTGATGTGTGTGTGTATGGCGGGGTTTCCATGAGATGTTTTATTTTGTGTTCTAAAGTGATGCAAAATGGCTGTGTTCTAAAGTGATGCCTGAGAGTGTGTTCCAAAGTGATCCTTTTACCGCGAGAAAGGGGCGTATTCCTGAATGTTTGCAATTGTTTGCATAGGTGATGGAAGAACACGGGTGGAATCTCAGAGTTTCTGAGGACAAAGCTAAGTTTTGTTCTAGTTCAATCGAGAAGTTGTAGGAGAATCATGGTCATGGGGCTTGATATGAAATGATGACTCTGGAGTTGTGGATTGAGGTGAAAGTGCAGATGCCACAACAACCTCCTCTAGTCCACACCGTGAAAGTTGTGGCCCAGCCAGACACGCTTGCAGATTCTTTTCACAGCAAGTAGGGCCACCTGGCCTTCCATTGAGACGGCAAGCTCCTATGCACTTGCGCCATCGTGCGCCTTACATCTCGTGACATCGCATGACATCGCGTTCCATCGGGACTTCATAGGGTTCCATCGCGTTCCATCGTGTTACCTGGTACCTCCGTTGTGCTGTGTGAACGGTGCTGTGCTTCGGGAGAGGGTGGATAAGTGACACCATGTGACACCAGCAACACGTCCCTTGTAAACCTGTTAGATTCTGGTGGCCGCTGTACTCAGAGTCCTAAAAAGTTCTGTGTCAGGTCCAATGTCTTGGGGTATGGAAAGCACAGGCTGTTTCTGGAACTTCGGGTGCGATCACAATGGAAGGATAATACTGGACTTTGGACCCGTTTGACACGTGATGGGACTTGCATGGACTTGCTATGTGGCCAGGCTCCACCGACGCAGTTTGAATGTGATTCCTACACCATGCATGCAGATCCAACTTGGTCAAGCCGCCACAAGAGTTGGTGCTGCTACAAGTATGGAGGGGAGGACCGAAATGCACATCTGTTGTTTTTGGGTTCGGACTGCGAACTGAAATTCATACTTCACATGCATCTCTTGAGAAATTTTGCACATTTGTGAATGCAAGAGCTTAGAGAGCAATCCTGCAGAAAAAAGTTTGGGATCTAGTCAATCTTGTCACTCGGTGGAGTTTAAGCGTCTCAGGAATCTGCCACAGCTGAGTGAACCAAACTGTGGCAGATGTAGTGTTTTGAAATTGCCGTGCCTGCAGTACTGTCCTGAGAGAGTCGTGGACAAGAATATTTATCACTCAGTGACGAAGGTTCAGTGCCATGGCAGTGGGAACGCTGGTTTGGTTTCACCGTTTTGCCGGTGTTGGTTGTTGGCTAATGCACAAAAAGGATGAATTTCCATAGCCGTAGCCATAGTCCTCCATAGGTTGTTATGAGTGGGATTATGAATGAGTATGATACCCGTCGCAAATCATGGACAACCGTTGATAGTCATTGGTGGTCATTGGTGGTCATTGATGATCACGCTGAGGAAGATTAGGGTGCCAGTTCCAGAGCCAATGCCGACCCACCCTCCTGCAACTTGACAGCAGCCTGGGGGATTGTCAATGTTCATGTTTGATTACTATCCTTGAGCCAAACTTCATGAGGATTTGGCTATTTTGATTGGAGTTTCTTCTAAAACAAATGGACTCTAAAAAACACTAGAGAACGTTAAGGCAGTTTTTCCAGTGATGCTGTGTCCTCTTCGTGCTGAGATTGTCCACACCATCCACCACAGCTACCACGTGCCCAGCCGACCACAGTATGTGCGTGTGCACGTTCCTGGGCCTACAGTGCTGAAGCCAGTGGGGAACCTTAGTTCCAGCTCAATGATGTGAAATATGCTGTGAAGGGTTTGATGTTCACCAGGTTACCAGGATTTTGCTCCAGTCATGTGAAACATGAAACATGTGGAGTGCTTGAAATCAGATCCTTCATTTGAGTGCTGCTAGCAGCTGTCTTCGATTGCAGTCTTCCTGTAGCAGTTTCCCTCCGTGGTTTTGACAAAGTCCCCTAATGGGAAGATCCTTCCATTTGCAAGGTTGTGGTAAATGAAAAGGTGCCAGTCCCAGTGAAGGAGCCGCCAAAGGCAAGAATTCGGTATTTTGCGTGTGGTGGTGTTGTACAAGACTATGCCAGAATGCCAGATGCTTCAATCATGGCCAGAAACAGATGGCAAGAGCAGCTCAGAGTTTTGCCGCTGCGTTTGATTCACCGTTTGATGTGTAACTTCGCAGATCATTGATGTGAAGAAGCCCTACCCAGTCCATGTGAAGGGCCCCGGCGCGGATGCCCAGGTCAACACAAAAGGGTGATGCCGAAGCAGCATGACTTAATC